GCGCGATGCCATTACAGCACGTCAGAAAAGGCTCCACGAAAACGACACCACCAGTGGGAGCTTAAAGTCGAAAATTCACTTCTTAACCAAGCTGACTTATTTGGTCTTTTATCCAGTCTTCTGATGGTTTTCTCAGTGTGGAGCTCACGGTTGCATTCATTCATTTTTTCGGGTAGGCCATGGCGGCTGCTGTTGTTTTATCATCGTGATCTAATCTTAACAGAACTTTAACAACGGAGTTTCATAGATTTATAGTGTTTGACTGGTAGAAATGATCCTTCAGATTGATATAAGGCAACGTTCACGACTGCGGCATGTGTCATGTTCCTCTCTGCATGTAGGTCTGCCTTAACGAGGTTTTCCCACGTTTTGTATTGCCGTCCTATGCATCGGCGGCGAGTGCGCAGTTCCCAACAAACGTCTTGAATATATTTCCATTCTATTTTGGGCCATCTTGTCAAATCAAGCCAATCGCCGGTGTCGAAGTTCATTTGGTAGTTTTCTCAGGCCGCTGGTCGTCCGTACCTGTTCGTACCTGACTCGAAAGTACCACCGCACTTTGAAGATGCTGCACAGATAGCGTTCGTGGTAGCTGTGTAATAGAGCCTCGTTGCAATTCAAGCTTGTACATGAACAACAGCAAAAGGGCTGCGTTCACAGTGATGATCTTCTTGTCCGTTCTTTCTGTTTGTGGTGGTTGAGCTGTTGGTAAATTTATCATGCTAATGCGCCATGTTATTTGTAGTAAATTCGAAGTCTTCATTTTTAGATGCAGTTTGATATCGTTAAGATTTTGCAAGTTAATGACATAACTACGATTACATACTACGAGTGCTATATTCAACATAGTTTGGCTCTAATAAGTTATTTGCAAAATTTCTTCACTGTTTAACCATTTTTACGTGATTTGTCACGTGTTCCATTTTTTTCCTTTATGCTGAACAGCATTCTTGCAGTCTGTGTGCGAAATTATTTGAAGCGTTGTTACGTATTGATTTAGGGGCGACGGGTTAAGGGTGATGGCCCCTGTAGGAATTTTGAAATTTTCGATGTGCTGCGTAGTCAAACTCTGACATTGTGCAAATCGTTGGTTTACTCAACGCATGTAAGACGCCGGTGCGGTCTTTATCCTCTTTCTGAAAAGTGAAGGCGATCTTTATGCTAGATTTGGCGTAGTTTTTCTTCATGAAACCCAAGATATGCAACGTTAAAGAAATATATCACCCTGAACACTGGGCATATCTTGCGAATACTTCCAGGATAGAAGGCGAAACGGCTGCTAACTGCCAAATTGACCGGCCGAAGACCCCGGGGATAGTGGCGAATAATCTGTAGCATATGTAGGTAAAGATTCTGTTCCAGATTCAGGTCATCTTCTGCCAAGGCTCAGATGCTGGCACAGGATCGGGAACGTTGGAAACACTGTCTGATGCGTCTCTGCGACCCGAGATGGTAACCGGTCATCGAAGCGGACTGACCGAGCTCCGCGACGTTGTCATTCATTAATCTTAGGTCGACCAAGGGTTCCAACAAATGTAATTTTAGCAACGCGGACTGGCGTAGGTGGTCGTCCATGTTGGTTTTAGATAGATATTTTTTTTGGATAACCGTTGTGGTAACGACCATTGCTATTCGTTTCAGTGTCTGTACCTTTTGTGCTTGTTCTTTCCGATTTTCGTTCAATGTTTTCTTTTTTTACAAAGTGTTTTTCAGGGATCCGATGAGCAGTCCGGCATATATATTAAAAAGGTTGTTCCCGGAAGTGCGGCTGCGATGGTAAGTATGAGGGTTTGTAGGCGTCGGTGCTAACCACAGACAATTTCAGGACGGCAGGCTTCAGTCGGGTGATCAGCTTTTGTCGGTGAACGGCCACAGTTTGCTGTCAGTTACTCAGGAACAGTAAGCGTCGTTGTTTCGTTGTTGAAGTTCTTGTACGTGTCTAAGCGTCGTGAAATGCCCACGGCACATTTGTGCAGTGCCGACGATACACCGCTACTGCGCTTGGGGGTAATCCGTTCGTGTAGCATGTTGTTATGGCCGAATTTGTCCCGCGTGCGTCTCACGTTTGAAAGAGGAAATGCGTGCCTATTTTCAATTGTCCCGAATTATCTATCGATTGTCGCCTCATTACATACACTCTGAACGAAACGTAACTGTTGAGTTATTCTTAAGTTATTCGTTCACCGTCGCTCATTAATCAACATGCTTAAATGAGCGTCTACACTGCTTGCCGCCAGATTATTGCACTTAACAGTTGCGCAAGTACCAAGATCTTGCTTCAACCTTCTTGAGAAGCGTAGGTGAACCGTTCGAAGGAGTGAAACGGCTCAGTACGAACTGTTGCTCGCTTTTGTTACTGTATTTGCTTCGGCGGTCAAAAACGTAACATATTCGTTACTTTTTGGTTGGCACCATCAGTCAGCCGAGCGAATTTCAGAGAGATCGTCTGATTAGCGCGAACAGCTGGCGGACAAGCTAAAGTTATCGATTAGTCGATGATTTGGGTATTTTCCATAAAAGCTGCCAAGAATTACGTACCAATGCTTCTAAACATTTTTTGACTGTTGAGGCGTTGTTCACGAAAAATGAAAGGCGTGTCTTTTGCGTTGTGGAACACCGTGATAACGACAGCTTCTTTGCTGATGGTTGGGACGAATTAAGCAGAACTCCCAGTGCTGAGCCCTCGAATTGCTGCTTTCATTGTTTAAATGTACCGTGTGCTTTGCGTATTCGCAGTCGATGCTAATCAGAATAATATGGAGGGCTGTAACGCATAGTTAGTTGAACCATAGGCCTTAATTTCAATACCGGCCGCAAACGCGCGACGGGCATTTAGCTTGTAAAACTTCGAAATCGGACAAGAGATTGACTATCTACGCGTAAACAACTGCCATCCATCCGTATACTGTATCATGCCGTCAAGCAGGATAAATATGGCTGATGAACGGATGAGGTTTTCCACAGTTATTACTGATGAACGGCTGTTCATCTGAGTAAAGGAAAAAGCAAAGTTTGTAACTCTTGAATTGT